TTCGCAGTAGTGACTCGTTCTTCACTACTATCAATAAAGCGCGTTGAACAAATTAAAAAAATTCTTAAAAGATCATACCGGCCAAATGATTTAACGATAATTATTCAATAAGAACTAGTAATACAAGTGTACAGATAAGACAAATAAAAAAAAATCCGTTCTGATCATTGTATTCATTATGTTATATGTATAATAAATGTATTTATTAATTTTGATCATGATCATGCTTTTCTAGGGTATTTTAGAAAATTCAACTAAAGAAATTAAAATTAAACAAATTTTATGCACAAGAATTTTTATAATATTGCGTCTTATTGAGCCCAGAATTCTAACGGTATATATTTATAGAAACAATGACAAAATAATATAAAAGTAACAGTAATTTCGTTTCACCACTTTCTCAAGATGATTAATTGTCTTGATAAAAAATTTGATTATTTAGTGAGAACAATATTAGTGACAGTTGTTTGGAAGAAAACTTTAACTAGAGATCGTACAGTACATTAATTCATTTGATCAAACAATATATTCGCAATATCTAAGAGAAGTGACCTTATAAAAAATTTTTCAGAAAAATGATCAAGTGTCTGAGTTTCTTCGGAATAAAAACTATCATTTGTCAGTGCTTTTTCCCGAATTTTTTTATAGGATTCCAAAAGAAGCTTGGAGGAAAATAGTTGATGGCAATGAAAGCTCTTTGTTCTGATTTGTCAACCATGTATGATGCATAGATTTTACAGCCAACTTTTCTTATACCGAATTTTGATATAACGAATCTTATAATATAACAGATCTTCGGTATCAGGACATTTTGCCGAAAGCCATTTCGCCGAAGCCATTTCGCCGAAGGGATGTTTCACTGAAGGTTTCGCCAAAGGGCCATTCCACCGAAGGGACATTTCGCCGAAACCAATTTCGCCGAAGACATTTTGCCGAATGTCTATTTCGCCGAAACCTGTTTCACCGAAATTAAAAAAGAAGAGATTTCAGGTGACGGAAAAGTCAGACAAAAGCAAAGTAGCAAAGAGGAGTAGTAATGAGAGTGATAGTGAATGTAACAAATGAAGGGGCTAATGGGGTAGGAAAGGGAAAGAAAACGTTAAGTCGAAGAAAAAGAAGAATAAAAGGAAGTGGTAAGGTGGTCAATAAAGTATCTTTTGTGTAGGGACGTAAATAGTAGGACCTAGAAATATATATATAGGGGTCAGGTGACGAAAAAATTTTTTTACTATGAGCTGTAAGCATTTTTTCAGGGCCGGAATTATGATAATGTTAGCCAGTTACTATAATAAGAAATAAAATTCTGACCGGCATTATCAAAAATTATCTAATAAAGGAAAGATTTTCATGATTTTTTTAGTACAAAATATGCAAACTCAAACCTGACCCTTTTATATATATTTCTGGGTCCTAGTAATCCTACGACCCCAATTTCCATAAAAATAAATGTGAACAGAAGAATAGTTTTACATGTTACACTTGTAACGTCCCACTTAAACTAAATATAGTACTGCGCCCACAATTAGTAAATTCACTAAGTAATTCTGACATTACACCGGTAAATCACTAACGATCTAAATAAATTTTATTACGTGGTCAATAAGAAGCGGCGTAACAGAATTTATATTTAGTCGAACGCTTCGGACGGTAAATTTACCTGCAAAATATTATACGAAAGTTTCATCTTGTTTATAGCGTTGCATGGAATCTAATCTTGGATGAGATTTTCAATTTTACAAATAATAATTTTCGAGAATTTGTATTTTACACATGGTACGCAGTGTGCACTCTCATACATCGTTACACAGTGGAACTTAGTTAGGATTCAACTTCAAACTTCTTAGTATATCATCGATTTTTGGGAAAGATTTTCCAAATGGTACATTTTCTTTACGATATATCATATATACATTATATATATATAGTATATATAATAAATACAAATGTGTTGTATTCAAAATATGCTTATAGAAACAATAAAAAAAAAAGAAATTTCTTTAAAAAGTTAAAAGGTTTTGGTCAAAATGAAAACTTTATTTTTTTTTTTACAAAAAATAATTAATGTTTAATAAAATTTAATATAACCGTTAACTTTAATTAAAAGAAAAATAATAATAAAAAAAAAGGCTTCGGCTGAACAGGTTTTAGCCAGAAAGTTGGTGGTTTTTGATATCCATCAAACCATCCGGCCGAAAATGAGTTTTTTTAAAAAAAAATATTTTTCAACAGGGTTTATACAGTATTAACTGCATCAATCTAATCTGATCTAATCCTAAAGGTGAATAAATTAGAAATAAAAAGCAAGGAATCAAATCAGAAAAATATCATAACATTGCAGCTTCAATATAACCATCGATCCTAATCTAAACCTTGTAAAAAAAATATAAAATAAAATCGGCACTTACCGTACACCGCAGATTATCAAGACATCAACCCTTACAGTAACACTGCAACTTTGATCCGATTATCAATTCAATTTAAGCCTAAATGAAAATAAAGTTAGTAAAAAGAAATGATAAATAAAATAAATCATGTTTTACTGTAGCATTGCAGCGTCAATCCGATAGGCTGATCCCAATCCTAATTTTTTTTAAAAAATTTTTATAAATAAATAAATTAAGAAATTTCATTTTTTAATTAAATTCAAAAATTTTTTTTCTTGATATTAAAAAAAACAAGATATTTAGAGCTTTTATGTAATAAACAAATAATAAAAAATGCTATTTTATATATTTATATGGTTTCAATACAAAAAAATTAACTATGGGGACGAATTCCCCTATATGGCATATGGCATAATGCTAGTTACCACATTATATGTCACACATAACACACCATGCATTTTTGTGCGCGACAAATTTATGCTAAATATATAATTGTATAAAAAGATTTATGTTTTGATGCTTCCACATTTATACATTTTCATTCTTCTGTTTTAAGATCTTTTTTTTAATAGTTAAAGAAATTTTTATTTGTAAATAAATATTTTGCGCGTTTTTTTTAGTCTATATGAAGTTACATAAGGAATCGATAATAAAAGAAGCAAATAAAAAAAGATTTTAACATTGAACAGATCTTGTATTACATATGTGATTATAAACAAATAAAAATATTATAAATAAACAAAATTTTTATAAACAAACAAAAGTTAAAAATCTATGAGATCCAGCCTCACTGAAAAAAATGTAAAATACGGGTTACTTTCAGAAATTCAAAACAGGAACAAATAATAAGAAATTGAAAATATTATGTACTTTTTGTAGTGTTAATGTCCAATACCACAACTTGGTTCACCCGGTGGAGTGTATGTAGGGCAAATAGGTTCTTCATCTCTTTTTTTAACGGTTCTCGAAGAAGTATAATCTCTTTCTTCAATAGTTTTTGTGGGAGCTGCTAGGGAAATAACGACAAATGACAAGAGGATTGCGAGAAGAAAATTTAATTTCATGATGTCTTAAAGAAGAAGGAAGTGTTTTATGGTATGGGATTTTGAAAGTTGGTTTGAAAGTTTATATAAATTAATGTATTTATTTTTCTATTTTTTTGAGAATGAAGATGGAAATTCGCTCGATAAAAATCTGAGGATATTTATATTGTCGAATTGAATGATCTAATGATCATTAAGAAGTTTTTCTATTGCCATAACTAGATATTTCCGGTAACTACTTCAGAATTGGTCGATTGCCATTTTGATCACAAAAACTAAAAACCAACCAAAATTTACGATCAAAGTTCGAAGAAAAGATGATTGATTGATCGTGATTATCGATCAAAATGACCTACGTTTTTTGGTGATCACGTTAATCGGTTAGTTGAGTTAAAAATTTATTGGTCAAAATTTTTGTGTAACCGATCAAAAAATCACGATCAATCAATTCTGAAGTAGACGCAAACTTTATATAATCAATAAGATGCACTAAAAGGTCTCAGTTGTTTACGTCGGACATATCCAATAACAATATTTAATTAATTTGATTTTACCATAATCAGATATTACCGATAATTAATTTTATTTGATCAATTTGATTTTGCCATAATCAGATATTTCCGAGAATTAATTTTATTTGATCAATTTGATTTTACCATAATCAGATATTTCCGATAATAATTACGGTATTGTTTTAATTTCCTTTTTGAATTCGGCGCCGGGAATTTTGACTTTTATGGGAAGATTGTCCATCGGTTTTATAGAAGATCTGATCTGCACTCTAAAATTTTTGCCTTTGTACTATTTCTAAGACCAAATTAGCTAAATAGTTCTGAATTGTCTGATTGGATTAAAACCGGTCAGGACCGGTAACCATCTTTGGTAATATGTAATTTAACGTAAAAATGTTGATTGGTGTATTACTAATAATTTAATAATGGACGATCAAAAAAATTTTTATTCGTCCGAAACAGAGCGGAGGTCATTTACAGTATATTCCACCAATGATCATTTATTATACAGGGTTTATCTCATTCATTGTCATATGAATTATTATTTTTAACCATAAGATGGTCCATAACATTTATACAATATATTTAGCAANCAAAAATTATCTAATAAAGGAAAGATTTTCATGATTTTTTTAGTACAAAATATGCAAACTCAAACCTGACCCTTTTATATATATTTCTGGGTCCTTAAATAGTTAGTATAGATTTTAATTAAAAAGTTAAATTAAGAATCATAAATAATTAGGATATGATTGGGTAACCCTTTATTGACGTACTGCTTTTGTGGTAAAATTACGATTGATTATTTGTTAATTTTTTGTAATACTAATAAAGGAAAAATATATATAGCTACAATTTATAGTAATTTTTTTTTAAAAAAAAATTCTTGATAACGTCATTATATAAGTGAAAATTTCTGCGTAGGTGAGATCTACTGGTTTTTTTGTTTGGTAGCAGGTAATACTAAATCACGCCGTACGCTTGTACGACTATCATCGGAGAAAAAAAACATAAAATAGGCATACAATAAAATTTTTACTTTTTATTTTTTTCTAACTTCACTGTTAACTTATAATTATTCAATACGTTCAATAACATTTGATAATATCAAAATGCAAGATACCGAGTATACAAATGAATGGGTCAATTGGATTGAGGAAGCTGTTGATAAAGAATATTTTAAATTTTATGAATACCAGCAATTTGATAATATTCAACATATTGGTACCGGAGGTTTCGGAAAAGTATATCGTGCAAATTGGAAAAAATCAGAAAAACAATTTGCGTTAAAATCTTTTTTTAGTCTTGATAACGTCACCGTGAAAGAAATTGTTTGTGAGGTAATTCGATATAATACATTTTTTTTTATTTATGATTATATTTATTTATTATACTTATTTAAATATTTGAATTTTATTTTAGTTAAAAATTCAACGAGAAGTTGATTTTCATGATAACATTATTCGTTGCTATGGGATAACAAAACTCGAGACAGGTATTATTGGCCGAAGTTATCTTTAATAAATATGATATTCTTGTTAATCGCAAAATTCAAAGAAATGCATTTTAATGATTTTTTTTCATTAGATAATCATAATAATTATTGGTTAGTAATGGAGTACGCCGACGGTGGTAGTCTTCGATGTTATTTGAAGGAAAACTTTACCAAACTTTCTTGGGACGACAAATATAAAATGGCATACCAGTTATCTTGCGCTGTATCATGCTTACATAACGAAGGAATAGTGCATCATGATTTGGTAATTTATTTTACATTATTCGATTATTAATGATACTATACTGTATTACTTATCTGAATATACGTTTATTAATAGCACTCCTGTAATATACTTGTACGTAATAACACAATTAAATTAGCGGATTTTGGATTATCCAAAAGAATTGGAGCATCATCAAATTTTCAATCTAAATTATTTGGGATAGTTCCTTACGTCGACCCAAAAAGTTTTAATAGACGAAGAAATAATAACCAATCAACACAAATGTATTCATTGAATGAAAAAAGCGATATTTATAGTTTAGGCGTATTACTATGGGAGATATCCAGCGGTCAACCTCCTTTTTATGTTGAAGGTGAACAATATGACATTGGTTTAGCTTTGGATATTTCACAAGGCCATAGAGAAACTGTTGTTCCTGATACACCTGATGAATATGTTAAAATTTATACCAGTAAGTAATAATTTTATGTTTTGAATTTTTATAATTTGAATATTATTAATTTTTTTTTTAGAATGTTGGGATGGGGAACCAGATAATCGTCCAACTATATATCAAGTAGTTGATTGGCTAAATGCAATAATTACAAAAAAAGATGTAATAGTAGAAATAGTAGAAGATCATCAAATAACAAATGAACTAGAACTTAATGAGACTTCTTTAAGCAGTAATAATTCAGAATTGCAAGGAGATTTATCTCAACTTATTCAAAATTTTAATAAAATGAATACAAAAGAAATTGATTCTATGGCAATATCAAGTAAACAAGAAAATCATTCAACTGAAAAAGATTTTAGCATGATAGCTGATGAAATAAATGACTTTATTACTGAATTAAATATTAAAGGATTTGGACGGGAATCACAAAAACGAGTTATTGAATATTTTTATAATCATAATATAAATTCACAAGAATTTTATAGTTGGTTATTAAATAATCAAAATAGTTCTAATTCTATTTTTATTCTTGGATATTTTAATTATTATGGAATCATAACAAATGAAAATAATGAAAATATTGAGAAAGCATTTAATTTGTTTATTGATGTATCAGAAAAAGATCATATTTTAGCACAATATTTTATTGGTCATTGTTATGAATTTGGATATGGAACTATGAAAAACGATAAATTAGCTTTTGAATATTATGAAAAAGTGGCTAATAAAAATTTATCATATGGCCAATTAAATCTTGGTTATTGCTATGAAAATGGAATAGTTGTTAAAAGAGATTTTGAAAAGGCTTTTTATTGGTATGAAAAAGCTGCAAATAATGGAAACTTATTGGCAATATGTAATCTTGGTTATTATTATAAAAATGGACATGGTGTTGAAATAGATTATAATAAAGCTTTTGAATTATATCAAAATGCTGCAAATTTAGGACATGATATAGCACAAAATAATCTTGCTTTAATGTATGAAGCAGGAGATGGAATTTCAAAAGATATAGATAAAGCGATATATTGGTATGAAAAATCTGCCAAACAAGGAAATTTGTTAGCAAGGAATAATTTAAATAAGCTTCAGGGAAAAATCAATAATTTATTGTAATTTTTCTTTAATTATTAAATTGTAAAACATTTAAATCATTCAAAATTTTATCTATTTTATATAATTATTTTTCTTTTAAACTTAAATGACATTCAATTTAAAATAAAGAATATTACAAAATTACTGTAGGTAAAAGCGTTATAATCACATGATTATCAGTAATGTTACATGCTGTAAAACAAAGAGAAAAAAATATAGGTATACTATTAAACACGCAGTCTGTATATCTCATAGTGAACAGCCAAATAAAAACTTATCCATGAATAGCTACTAGTTAAATCTTCAAAATCGACAAATCCCGACGTCGGTAATTGAAAATAACAAAGTTACACAGTTACTTTGGATATTTAAACGGTTTAAACTTATAAGTTAATTTATATATATTTTTATTTACCCATTTTATTATATAACTTCCATATCCTTTTCCGAAGTATGAACACATAAACATCATTTTTTTATAAAAAAAAAAAAAAAAATTTGTTCTAACCATTTGGATTCATTATATTATATATAGATCATGCTTTTCTANCATTTTTTTAAAAAAAAAAAAAAAAAAATTTGTTCTAACCATTTGGATTCATTATATTATATATAGATCATGCTTTTCTAGCATTTTAGAAAATCAACAAAAGAAATGAAAATTAGTTAAACAAGTTTTATTGCACCGGAATTTTTAAAATACTTGAGTTCTAATGGTATTTATTTAGTGAATTGCTAAAGCTCAGATGGTCACCGTACCAGCATTATGATGTATTTTCAACCAGATTTAAAATACTGGCCGGCATTACACCATAATTTCACCATCACCACCGGTTATGTTTAGCAATACCATTATTTATTATGCGATAAATAAGTTTAATTACGTATAATAATATACATTTAATAATATACGTATAATATATCAAATATGAAAATCTAAAATAACCAAAAACCAACTACCAAGCAAATAAAATAAACGTTCAAATTACAATTAAACGTTCAAATCATAAAAATAAATGTTTAAGGATGTGACTTATGCGTCTAAGCAACCATTTATCGCCATTTTCAAAATGGTGTACGCAGCTATATTTGAATGAAAAAAAAAGAACAAGAAAACTGGACGAATATTGATATTTGAATATACAACCATACCATGGCGATAAATTAACGCTGTTCCAGAAATCAGAACGCCAACATTCTGATTCAAGTTTAAATGTTTAATTAAACCATAATTCAAAAATATTTAAACCACCTTAATAAATTCTGCTCCCCCACTCCAAACAATATTATCCCAAGTTTATTTCCAGAGTTAATGTTATTATGATAAATTTTGAGAAAGTGGAGAAACGAAAATGCTTTTACTTTTATATAAAAGCTAATGATAAATTAAAAATGGATTCTACTTATTTTATTCTATTATAAATTATAATGGGTAAAATAATCCTTTATCATGACCAGCAGTTAATGAACGTGACCATATGCATATTATTTCCTTTTTCTTTTTAAACTTTTTTTCAATTTATTATGATGAGTATTTGGATCTCCTTGTTCAGCAGATCTTTCATACCAATAAATCGCTTGATCTATATTCCTAGAAACTCTTCCCCCATATTCATACATTAGAGCAAGGTTATATTGTGCTATACTATCTCCTAAATTAGATGCCTTTTGGCATAATTCAAGTGCCCCTTTCTTATCCCTTCTGATTCCAATTCCATTTTCATAGCAATATCCTAAATTATCTATTCCAGCTGAAGTTCTAATTTTGCTGCCTTTTGATATAATTCAAATGCCTTTTTCTTATCGATATTGGTTCCAATTCCACTTTCATAACAATATCCTAGATTGTTTATTCCAGTTGCATTTCCTAAATCTGCCGCCTTTTGATATAATTCAAATGCATTTTTCTTATAAATATAGGTTCCAATTCCATTTTCATAACAATATCCTAAATAATTTATTCAAAATGAATTTCCTAAATCTGCAGCCTTTTGATATAATTCAAATGCTTTTCTCTTATCAATATCGGTTCCAATTCCACTTTCATAACAATATCCTAACTTATTTATTCCAGATGTCTTTCCTAAATATGAAGCCTGTTGATAAAGTTCAAATGCTTTTCTTTTATCAATATCAGTTCCAATTCCATACTGATAACAACGTCCTAAATTAGTTATTCCAGTTGCATTTCCTAAATCTGCTGCCTTTTGATATAATTCAAATGCTTTTCTCTTATCAATATCGGTTCCAATTCCATCTTCATAACAAAATGCCAAACTATTTATTCCATCTGTATTCCCTAAATTTGCAGCCTTTTGATATAATTCAAATGCCTCTTTTTTATCAACATTAATTTCAATTATTTCAATTCCAAAAAGATTAAAATCTCCAAGTAGAACAATAGAATTCGTATTATTTTGATCATTTAATAACCAATTATAAATTTCTTTTAAAGTCACATTATGATTTTTGAGATAATTAAGAATTTCTTGTTTTTCTACTTCATCTCCTGTCTTATTAGGAAGATTAATTATCTCATCAACAATTTTACCAAAATTATTATTAATTTGACTACTACTATTTAATACTTTTAACTTAGCAACTACTTGGCTGATAGTAGGACGATTATCCGGTTCTCCATCCCAACATTCTAAAAAAAAAAATGATTTTTATCTGATCAAAATAATGATAATTTTAGTAGCATTCGATAATAACACATACCAGTATAAAGATTAACATAAGCAGTAGGCGTGTCGGGAACAGGTGTTTCTCTAAGACCTTGTGGAATTCGTACAATTAAACCATAAGACGATATTTCATCAAAAGGTGGCTGACCACTTGATATCTCCCACATAAGTACACCAATACTATAAATATCACTTTTTTTATCTAAAGAATATGGTTGTATATTAAATTTTTTTGGATCAATATATGGAACTACACCAAGTAAATCTGATCGCGTCCTATATGATTCATCAATCCTTTTTGACAGTCCAAAATCTGCCAACTTGATGGTATTTTGATGGACTAATATGTTTTTAGAGTGCTATTTAATATTTAAATATGTCAAATAAATGAATTAATATATAAATTTGACACAATAAATTAGTAAATATAAATAAATGAATTACCAGATCACGATGAACGATTCCTTCATCATGGAGGCATAATACAGCATGAGCTAACTGAAGTGCTATGTTGAATTTATCATTCCAGGTAATAGTATCAAAATGTTTCTTCAAATATTCATGAAGAGTACCATTATTAGCATACTCCATCACTAACCAATATTTTTTAAAATTATCATTTTGATTTTCTATTAAAAAAAATAATCATTTAACTTTAGTTCAAATTTTATAAAATTGATATTACCATAATATAATATTTATCATACGTGTTGTAACTCCAAAAAAACGAATAATATTCTCATGGAAATCCACTTCACGCTGAAGTTTAAGCTAAACCATGAAAATAATTTTAAATTAGAATTATTAGAATTACAATAAATGAAAATAACATATTATATTACGTTATTATTACCTCATTAACAATTTCTTTAATTGTAACGTTATTTAAATTAAAAAAAGATTTTAACGCCATATAACTGCGAGAATTTTTCCATTTCGCACGGTAGACAGTTCCAAAGCTTCCGGAACCAATTTCTTTAATATTGTTAAAGTGGTTGTATTCATAATATTTAATATATTTTTTACCAATAGCTTCTTCAAGCCAATTAATACACTCATTATATGAATCTCCGGTAACTGTTATTGGTAGAGTAAATCCGGACATATTTAAATTACAGAAGTTTGACACTTAAGATTTAGTGAAAATATATTCGTGAAAAAAAAAATTATATTTATAGTATTGAAGGTTTATGTCGCTTGTCGATCATTCATTTACATTTATAAATTATCGGAATAATTCACGAGAATTGTTGTTACACAGAAATAAACAAAGGCGTAATTGTGAAATATAAACTTAAGGAGGCATAAAAAAGATTAGCGGTAAACCTTCTAAGAATCGAAAAAATCTAAAAAATCGCATGAATAATTTACCGAAATTATTCTGGTTAGCAAAAGGAAGATATGCACAGTAAAAGAATCAGATTTTATTAATTTTGGTACAGTAAGAGAATCACGTGATTTATTATTTTGGCACAAGTTGACAAGTTGTAGTCACTTAAGTTTAAAAGCGTTAGGATATTTAAAAGTCTAAAGATTAAAAATCTTATAAATTTCAAACCGTCCCTATAAAAAAATCGGGATACGTTTTTTATAAAGTTTTTATACGATTTTTTTTCCTTAGAAATAACGTATCATAATAGGATACGGAAAAATGCACAATTCCGTATCACTAAAATATGCGGAATTTGCACGGAATTCATATGGAATTTACATGATTTGATCACTGATTTTATCACGAAATTTATACGATTTGGTCACTGAATTTACTATTTGTATTACAGTTTACTATAATATATGTCTCTTATACACATCT